TGCCCCCACTTGCCACAACTAGAGAAAGCCCATGCACAGTAATGAAGACCCAACACAGCCAAAAATAAATAAATTAAATAAATAAATTAAATAAGAAACAAACTGAGACTGGAACTTCCCTGGTGGTCCAGTTGTTAAGACTTCAATGCAGGGTGCACTGGTTCGATCTCTGGTCAGGGGACTAAGATCCTACATGCTGTGTGGCAAGGCCAAAAAGAAAAAAAAAAAGAAAAACAAACTGAGACCATGAGACCACCTTACACTCATCAGGATGGCTAATATGTGATATATATATTTGTTGTGAAAAATGTAAGTTTTTAATCTAATGTGTTTTTTAATTGAGCATTTATTTTTAAAAAAACTGTAGAATTGCTGATGTTGCACATCTGGTTAGACCTCATAATGGCCTTGTCAGTATTCTTTGGACAAAATTATAATTTTGGACTGGATTTATAATATATAACAGTACCAACCATTACTTATGTTTATTGTTTCTCCTCCCACCATATGTCTCCTCTATTTCTGCATTCCAAACATGGTAGATATCTTCAGATCTCTGATAACACTGTGAAGTTATGTGTGGGGCTCTAGAGGTGTTTTTCGTCTACCTGGAACTCCTGGATCTGAATATGCTTTAAAAATTTGTTTTTAAAGTAACCATATAAGATACAAGTACATAAAGACACAAACTTTTATCTCTAAATTTCCTGTTTCTTTCCATAGTACTTACTTAATGAAAACTTTCTGAAGAGTTGCTACTAGGTAGTAAAGTATAAGTAGATTAAGTAAATTCTGTATAACTAGATAAAATTTTCATTTTCTGCATATTCTATTAGCTCTAGAAATGCAAGAATTTATCTGTTCTTATTCAGCAATATATCCCAATTAATGAATGAAAATTGAAAACCCCTTAACCAATCACCTTTTCATTGTATAATTATTTGTACCTGACCATCACCTAAGTTAAAAAAGAAAATTAGGGGCTTCCCTGGTGGTGCAGTGATTAAGAATCTGCTTGCCAATGCAGGGGACACGGGTTCCAGCCTTGGTCCAGGAAGATCCCACATGCTGTGGCACAATTAAGCCCATGCGCCACAACTACTGAGCCTGTGCTCTAGAACCCACGAGCCACAATTACTGAGTCCCATGCATCTAGAGCCTGTTCTCTGCAACAAGAGAAGCCACCACAATGAGAAGCCCGAGCACCACAATGAAGAGTAGCCACCACTCGCCACAACTAGAGAAAGCCTGCACACAGCAACGAAGACCCAATGAAGAGAAAAATAAATAATAAATAAATAAATTTAAAACAAATTGAGGTCCAGAGCTCTCACGTGGCTGAACTAGGAAGGAGTAGATCCCAAAATTTCCCTTAAAAAAATTAATTGTTTCACTGTAGAAATAAGACAAATGTTTAACAATATTAGGAAAATAATTTTTTTGGAGCAGAAAAATCACTGCTGATGAGAACAAAGGGGCTGAAAGCTGGGAAATCCGGAGCTAGTAGCAGAGATGTTTCCATCAGCCACTGGCCTGGATTTACAATTACAGTAACACAAAGACTCAAAATGGAAGAGAGACAGTAAAAAAAGATGAAGAAACTCACCAGGATAAGGATGGTGCATGTGGCTTTGGCCACGTGGGGAGGTCTGGGGTAAAGTCTGTTGCTGTGGATGTATTGGGCTCGCTGCTTGTATCTGTGCAGGACAAATATCATGCACCCACGAGTCCAGATCTTGAAGCCCAAATAACATCCAGGGGATAAAATATAAATGCATGTAATAAGCTGAGATTTCTGTCTGACGTGGCTGAGAAACCGTACGTAAAATTTTTTTTCACACATTCATGCTGTTTCTAGGACCAATCACATTCATAGGAATATAGACGTTTACCAACAGCTGAAGGAACCAGAAAAGGAAAGTAAAGAAGCCAATGCATTTGGGGAGATTGAATTCTGAAGTCTATCCACCAAGAGGTTCTGGGACAAAACTTAATGGCCAGGAAGCCACTCAGAAGGCAGGTAGTGCCGAGAGAAACCCCTGTGGCCACTCTGTAAATACAAGACAAATGTACACCCAAGATCATAGAGGAAGTGTTTCAATCCAAAAGCTGTCATTTTCTGTGGGATCCCTCTGGAGCTAAGAGCCAAGTTGTTGGGGAGGCTAATAAAATAGTCTTGTTCAGGCTTCAGAGACAACAATAGGCTTTTGACTAAACAAAGACTCTGAAAGGGCTACACATCAAGCTGCTAGACTACATCCAGGTCAGCAGAAACGGTGCTAGTCAGTCTTGGGATCTAACAGATAAAGAAGGGAGTAAGTCACAAAGCTTCCTGGGACTTGGGAATCTGGCCAGTTCCTGGAATTCAGCGAACATTCTGAGACAACTGAAGTGTCAATATATTTGCGTTAATAGTCAGAGCTGCGTACTTGCATGCAAGCTGATGACTATCAGCTTGCGGTTTGGCGTTAAAAGCAGGACTCCTTTGGGCAGCACTCTGAAGTCCCACCCGTGGGGTGGACTCACCGCCCTGGACCTTCCCAACTGGGACTCCAGATTGCTGTTCAAGGGAATTCCTAGCTGCCACTTGGATCTGGAAGTAGGTGTCGGCCCAATTCGGTGATGTATGCTCTGTTATATACTCTGTTAATATTATTGCTCTCCCTCTAATGATTGTATATTGAAATTTATATACTCTGTTAATATTCTTATTGCTTTCCCTCTAATGATTGTATATTGAAATTAAGTTAAATCACTTTATTAAAGATTTGATTGAAGCTGTTTCTTCGTGTGAGACAAGTGGTTATTTTGCCAGCGAATCCAACGAACCTTAAAACTGAAAGCAGGCTTTTGGCGAAACAGTTGTTGGCCAAGATCAGTTGGTTGTCAGTCTGATCAGTGGGTCTCAACTTATAACTGGTGAGCAAGGTGAAGTTATGAAGACAAAGGCAGGAGGAGTTTTCTAGGACCCCAGCTCCAGTGTGAGTGAGGAACATAATCCCTATTTCCAAGTTGGCATGCCCATCACTTTCATATCTGGGAGATATTGATTTTAATTTGAAACAAAGAAATGGTAGAAAGATAAACATAAATGTATTACCTACTTCTACTCAGCTGTATCTTCTGCTCAGCTGTATCAGATAAATGGGCACTGAGTAATCTGGAGAAAGTAAATCTTGCCTAATATACAGGTGCTTCTAAGCTCAGCCAGTTATTCAATTGTTTTTGATAGTTATATTTTTTCCAAAAAACAGAAAAATATATCTTGGGTTAGGAATCCACCAATATTGATAATTTTGTAAAGTCTGTATTAAGAAAATTGTGCGTTGCACACGAAACTGCTCTGTTTTCAGTGAAACCTCTGGGTAGCCTCTGTACATCAGATCAAACCATTTTCAGTAATAGATTAAAATGTGGAAATACAAAGTGAAATATTATCTAAAGATTAGCACATTCACTAGCTGGGGCCAGGATAAGTAGGTACGCATTGACTGATTAGGCCTTATGATTAAGAGGGAAGGTCAGGGAATTCCCTGGCGGTCCAGTGGTTAGGACTCCACCCTTTCCCTGCTGTGAGCCTGGGTTTGACCTCTGGTTGAGGAACTTGTAAGGTCGGATCTTAACAAACGGCACCGCGAAACAGAGGAAAGCTTCAAGTGAGCTTTATTAGGGAGCACTCCTGGGCGAGGTTCACTGGTCCGAGAGAAAGGAGCCAGAGAAGTCGCACCCGGGCGAGGGTTTGGGCAGAATTTATAGGGGAAGAAGGGAAAGGAGTGTGGTGAATCCGGGAGGGCGCAGGGTAGTCCTTATTTGGTGGTCTCTTCGGGTATCATGGCAATATCTGGTGCCAGTTACATCAGTCTTGGGACCGTTAGTCCCGCCCCTAGAAAGGCGGGAAGGCTGGGCCGGGTGGAAAGTCCCCAGGTCAGTTCCTGGAACTGGGTGGGTGGGAGCTCCAGGTCAATTCCGAGAACTGGGTGTGTGGAACGTTCCTGGCTGATGCAACCTGTGTGTCTGATTGCGTTCCCCTACCTCGGGCCAGTTGGCCTTACAGAACTAAGATCCCAAAAGCCACACAGTGCGGCCAAAATAAATAAATAAATAAAATAACAATAGTAAGGGAAGTTCATTCACGTGAATAGGGTGTAGGTGAATCAGACTGGTGGAGCAAGGAAAGTACAAAAAGCAAGAGAACAGCTATCGTGGGTGGCCTGATCATCAGTTTTTGTCACTGAATTGGGCACAATCACTAACTACGCAGTCAGAAGAGTCTTTTCTAGGGGGACGAGAAGCAGTGCTCTCCCTCTTGCCGAGCAGGCCTGTCCAAAATCTCCTCTCCATATTCCCAGTCAGCGTTGTCTGACTTTTTTCTGGTCCCTGAACAAAGCCCACAAAATCACTTTAACTCTTCAGGCTGCATGTATATCAGGAGCAATAGGATAATGTTTAGTTTTTGTTCCTGTTACCAGTGGGTTTAAACGTGGGATGGTTTAAAGGATTCTGAGATAATGCACTCCCCGACCCCATAGGTCCTCCGCCCCATTAATAAGGCTGGAGCCCCTCCCCAGCCCTAGAGGTCATTTTCTAGTGCTCCTCCGGGTGCTTCTTGGCTTTTTCCCAGGTGCTTCCCGGTGTGGGGCTTCCTTCCTTGAGACTTTTGCACTACATTACCCAGAATAATTTGTGCTAAGGGGCAGCGACTTTCACCCAATGAAAATCGAGCAAGGGGGCATTTCCGGGAGGGTGAAGCTCCTGGAGAGGGACTTCCTGTTTCTTCGTGGCTGCCATTTTAATTACGGTGAAGTCTATGTTGATGGTCAGGTCAGGGGCTTCTGTGTGCGGTGTTGGGAGCGAGGTGACAGGCTAAGAGGCGCAAGAGGAGGCTCTGTGCGCACTGAACCGGGGCGGTTTTGAGGGTTGGGGACAGACCCTTGCAGTGTCCGTGCAGAGTGGGACCCGGTCGGTCGACTGTCGCCACTCCTTTCCGTCCAGAAGTTCCGATGGCGGCGCCTGCGCTGAGGGACCCGGCTCAGGTAAACGCTGTGCGTTCCGGGTTCTCCCCGACCTCTTTCCCCACCCAGATACGAACGGCCCGCGTGGGAGGCGGCTGTTCACGTCGCTTTATCCCAGGCCCAGGGTCTAGGACAGAGAGGCCTCCAGGAGTCTTTTCCCTTTTTCTGTCTGCGTGAGACTTGGAGATGCAACTGAAGCAGGAACATCCCGGGAACCTGGAGGCCATCTTGTTTCTGCAAGGAAGAAAGTTTGAGGCCAGGCTGCATCTGGAATGGTAGATGAGAGGTTGTACCTTTCTTCTCCGAGAAGAAAGCCCTCCGAGAAGGGCTCCAAGAGCCCTCGGAACGGTGGAGAGTTTTGAGCACAGGAAGGACACCATCTGAATTAGGCCTTTAAAAATACTCCAGAGCCTGTTCAGTGGAAGCACAGACTTTAGGGGGTGATGAGATGATTGAGGCAGAGGGAAGTTGTGACTTTTCCAAGGTAGCACCGGGGACCGAGGCACGGAGGAGAGGTTTGCCAGTCATCCTGATGTTATCTGGCTCTGGTACCTGACAAGGTCCAGTTGTGAGGACAGAGATGCCCTTGGGAAAAAGAGAAAGGCAGAGCCTAGCTCAGAGCATAGGGGTGGATGTGAGGGCCTTACCCAGCATGCATACATGGAACACAGCCATGGTCTCTTTCCTCCATAGTTTGCCTTTTCTTACATGTTCCCAGGTTGCAGAAGCACTTGGAGCAAGTGCAGGTTGTCCTAGTCCTTCCCTTGTTCTCACCCCACACGCACACATTCTCTGTATTTGAGGTGTATTGGGGCTCTTCACCTGCCATTCTCCCAGCTCTTTGGTTTTGGGACCCTGGAGAACCCCATGCTCAGGTTCCTGAGTGCAGGCCGTGTTCTATGGAGGGGGTTCCCATTTCTCAACACCAATGGAAGGAGGCGTGGAAGGTTACTCATGAATCCAATACCAGTATGTGGACGTGCTGTGAGGTGAGCCTGAGCTGGTTTAGGTAAGTGCAGGTCTCCTTTTTTCTGGTGGAAATAAACAGGGAAGGGCAAGAGTTAGACTAGAAATGACTGCCTATGTATTCTGGAGGAAAAGGGAGGTGCAGATCAAAGGAAGTTGGTTTTCTTCCCCAGGTCTCAAGTGGCTCCATCTTATTGGGTAGTAGGGGAAATGTGTAGGAAGATGGATTGTGGGTTTTCAGGAGTGAGACCGTTCATGGTTTTATTTGTCCCTGTTTACCAGGGCAGTGTGACCTTCGAGGATGTTGCCGTGTACTTCTCCTGGGAGGAATGGTGTCTTCTTGATGAGGTTCAGATACACCTGTACCTTGATGTCATGCTGGAGAACTTTGCACTTGTATGCATGCTGGGTAAGACCCTCACACCCACCCCTGTCCTCTGAGCTAGGCTCTGCCTTTGTTCTCTTCCCCAAGGGCAGCTCTGTCCTCACATCTGGAACACAGGCACTGCTTTCTTCTTCAATTGCTTGGTTATGTGCTGTGGTTACTATGGCTAGGCAGAGTGTATCCCTATTCCTTAGTGCCGGGACACCTGTAGCTCCAAAGTTTTGCAGGTGAGGATTTAGGTTCAGTAGTCTTGCACTCAGTCTGATAGATCCCTCCTTGCTCGCCCTCTCTGCCCAGGCTATTGTCAAAATCCATGGTACCCAAGTTTTGCTCCATTCCTGTTCATGACATTTTTTTGTGCCTTACTTCACAACAGACTGTTGTCACTGACATGGTCGTTACTAAAACAGACCATGAGCTGTTTCTGTAAGACCTTTTTCCAAGGTTCCAATTTCTGTTTATCAACACTGGCATCTGTTAAGCATTCCGGTCAGCAATGAATGAAATTCCTGTTGCTCCACACCCTTATAGCATTTGGTGTTGTGAATGTTTGGATTTTGGCCCTTCTTACAGGTATGTAATAGTGTGTACTTTTCAGTTTAATTTGCATTTCCTTGCATCTTTGTATATGCTAAATTGTCATCTGTATATCTTTTTTTTTTTTTTTTTTTTTGGCTACGTTGGGTCTTCATTGCTGCACGTGGGCTTTTTCTAGTTGAGGTGAACAGGGTCTACTCTTCATTGTGATGTGCGGGCTTCTCATTGCAGTGGCTTCTCTTGTTGCAGAGCATGGCCTCTAGGCACACAGGCTTCAGTAGTTGTGGCACATGGGCTTCAGTAGTTGTGGCTCACAGGCTCTAGAGCACAGGCTCAGTAGTTGTGGCACACGGGCTTAGTTGCTCTGTGGCATGTGGGATTTTCACGGACCAGGGCTTGAACCTGTTTCCCTGCATTGGCAGGCGGATTCTTAACCACTGCGCCGACCAGGGAAGTCCTGTATATCTTCTTTTAATGAGGTGTTTGTTAAGGTGTTTTGCTCATTTGGTATTTGGGTTTTTGTTTTTTAACTAAGTTTTAAGAGTTTTTTTGTATTTAGCATTTAGGTCTGTGATCCATTTTGAGTTAATTTTTTGTGAAGGTTTGTGTCTAGAATTCATTTCTTGGCATGTGATGTTCAATTGTTCCAGTACTATTTATTCAAAAGACTTAACTTTTCTCCATTGTATTGCGCTTGTTCATCTGTCAAAGGTCAGTTGAGTGTATTTCTATGGGTCTATTTCTGGGTTTTTAGTACTGTTCATTGAACAGTTTCTCTGTCTTTTCAACAATATCACACTGGCTTGATTACTTTAGATACTAAGTCTTAAAGTTGAGTAGTGTCAGTCTGCCAGCTTTGTTCTTCTTAAGTTTTGTGTTGGCTATTCTCGGACTTTTGCCTTTCTGTATAAATTTTAGGATCAAAGTATTTATGTCCACAAAATAACTTGCTGGTATTTTGATTTGGGTTACATTGAATCTATTGATGAAGTTGGGAAGAACGGACATCTTGACAATACTGGGTTTTCCTGTTTATGAACGTGAAATAGCTTTCCATTTATTTAATTCTTTGATTTCTTTATTAGAATGTTTGATCGTTTATTTGTTTTTTGGCTGCACTGGGAGACCTGAGGGATTTTAGTTCCCCTACTAGGGATCGAACTCAGGCCCATGGCAGTGAAAGCATGGAGTCCTAACCAGTGGACCACCATGGAATTCATGATTTCTCTAAGTTTTATAGTTTCTCTCATGTATATCTTGTACATGTTTTGGTAGATCTGTAACTCAATATTTCTTTCTCTTGCTCTTTTTTTTTTTGAGCGGGTGGTAATTTACATGGTATTGTGTTTTTAATTTCAAATTCACTTGTTCATTGATGGTATATAGGACATAATTGACTTTTGTATATTAAACTTATGTCCTGAAAGCTTGCTATAATTGCTTCTTAGTTCCAGGAATTTTTTTTTTTCCTCTATTTTTTGGGTGTTTTACATAGCTGGTCATGTCCTGTGAGAATGAAGACAGTTTTATTCCTTCCTTCCTAATCAGTATGCCATTTATATAACCTCATCTCATTGCCTTTGTTTTGACTTCCACTGTAAAGTTGAAAGGGAGTTGTAAAAGGGAACATCCTTGCCTTCTTCATCTTAGTGGGAGAGTTCTAGTTTTTCTCTAGTAAGTATGATAGCTATAGGGTTTTATTTAGTTTATCAAGTTTAAGTATTTTTTCAATTTTTAGGTTATATCATATGGAGATTTTGAATATGAGTGGCTGTTGGATTTTGTCAGATCTTTTTTCTGCATCTATTGATGAGATCATGAGTTGGTTTTTAACCTGTTGATGACATGGATTATATTAATTGATTTTTTAATGTTAAGTCAGCATTGTATAACGTGGATCATTCTCCATTGGTCATGGTGTATAATCTTTCCTTCCTCCCTTCCATCCTTCCTTCCTTGCTTCCTTCCTTCCCTCCTTCTTTCCTTCCTTCCTTCTTTCCCTCCCTCCCTCTCTCCCTCCCTCCCTCCTTCCCTTCCTGCATTGGATCTTCGTTGCTATGCACAGCCTTTCTCTAGTTGCAGCAGTTGAGGGGCTACTCTTCATTGTGGCACGCGGGCTTCTCATTGCAATGGCTTCTCTTATTGTAGAGCATGGGCTCTAGGCGCGCGGGCTGAGTAGTTGTGGCTTTCAGGCTCAGTCATTGTGGCTCACGGGCTCTTAACCAGTGCGCCACCAGGGAAGCCCTCCTTTTTCACTTTGATATTAGTAATTTGTGTCCTCTCTTGTTTTTGTGACTAGGCTGACTAGCATGTTTTTGATTTTATTGGGCATTTTAAAGAACCAGCTTTTTTTTGACTGTTGATTTTTCTCTACTGATTTTTTAAATTATTTCTTTTCTTCTTCCTTTGTATTTCATTTTCCCCTAGTTTCCTAAGATAGAGGCACAGATGACTGATTTTAGGTTTTTCATCTTATCTTATGAATATATGCATTCAGTGCTACCGATTGCCATATAAACAATGCTTTCACTGCATCGGCATTTTTTTTTTAAGTTTATTTTTCGGTGCGTTGGGTCTTCGTTGCTGTGTGTGGGCTTTGTCTAATTGCAGTGAGTGGGGGCTACTCTTCGTTGTGCACAGGCTTCTTATTGTGGTGGCTTCTCTTGTTGCAGAGCGTGGGCTCTACGGGTACGGACTTCAGTAGTTGCGGTGTGTGGGTTCTAGAGCGCAGGCTTAGTAGTTGCGGCACACAGGCTCAGTTGCTCTGCAGCATGTGGGATGTTCCCAGACCAGGGCTTGAACCCGTGTCCCCTGCATTGGCAGGCAGATTCTTAACTGCCACCAGGGAAGTCCCCATCTGCATGTTTTGACAACTGCTGTGTTTCTTTCTTTCAAAATACTTAAAAATTTATCCTAATATTTCTTCTTTGACCCATGTTTTATTTGGAAGTGTATTGTTTAATTTATCAGTGTTTTGCAATTTTATAGCTATCCTTTTGTTACTGGTTGCCTGTGTAATTCCACTTTGTTCTGAGAACTGATCTTGTATGTTTTCTATTCTTTTAAATTTGTTAAGGTGTGTTTTCTGGCCCAAGATGTAGTCCATCTTGTGAATGTTCTATGTCAGTTTGAGAAGAATATTCTGCTGTTTTTGAATGGAGTAGCCTAGTAATCTGTAGGTGACTGTTACATCCAGTTGACTGATGATGGTGATCCTCAGTTTACCAGCATCCTTATGGATTTTTTCTTTTCTGGATCTGTTCATTTCTTCTACAGGTTTGTTGAATGAAGTCTCCAAGTGTTATAGCAGATTCATTTATTTTTTACTTGTAGGTCTGTTTTGCCTCATATTTTGACATTGTGTTGTTAGACACAGACATGTTAAGGATTGTTGTGTATTCTGGAGTATTGACCCCTTTACCATTGTGTCATTCTCATTATCCCTGATGACTTTGTTATGCAAAATCTGCTGTGATATCAGTATAGTTACTACCACTTTTTTTTTCTTTTGATTTGTGTTGACCTCTTTTTCTGTATTGACATACTTTTAATTTATATGCATCTTTTTTATTAAGCATCTTTTAAAAAATTTTTTGCCGTATGTGGGCCTCTGACTGCCGTGGCCTCTCCTGCCACAGAGCATAGGCTCCAGACGTGCAGGCTTAGCGGCCATGGCCCATGGGCCCAGCAGCTCCGTGGCATGCAGGATCCTCCCGGACTGGGGCACGAACCTGCATCCCCTGCATCGGCAGGTGGACTCTCAACCACTGACCCACCAGGGAAGAACTTTAAGCATCTTTTAAAAAAAAATTTAAATTTTGGTTATGTTGGGTCTTGGTTGAGGCTCACAGGCTCCTTAGTGGTGGCTCACTTGCTCCTTTAGTTGTGGCACGTGTGCTCCTTAATTGTGGCTGGTGGGGTCCTTAGTTGTGGCCGATGGGCTCCTTATTTGCAGCTTGGAGGCTCCTTAGTTGTGGTGTGCAAGCTCTTAGTTGCGGCATGCATGTAGGATCTAATTCCCAGACCAGGGATCAAACCCGCGTCCCCTGCATTAGAAGGTGTATTCTTTTTGGGGGGGGGGGTAACACGGGCCTCTCACTGTTGTGGCCTCTCCCGTTGCGGACGCACAGGCTCAGCGGCCATGGCTCATGGGCCCAGCTGCTCCGCGGCATGTGGGATCTTCCCAGACCGGGGCATGAACCCGCGTCCCCTGCATCGGCAGGCGGACTCTCAACAACTGCACCACCAGGGAAGCCCAGAAAGTGGATTCTTAACCACTTGCCCCACCAGGCAGCTTCCTCTATGTGCATCTTTGTATTTAAAGTGGGTTTCTCGGAGACAACATATAATTCAGTCTTGTTGTTTGATCCACTCTGATAATCTCTCTTTTAATTGGTGCATTGAGACTATTGATCTTTAATATATTGATACAGTTGGGTAAACATCTAACATATTTGTTACCATTTTCTTTCCATTGCCCTTGTTCTTTGTTCCTAGTTTAGTCTTCCACCCTTCTTTTTGTGGTTTTAATGAAGCATTTTGAATGACCCTTTTTCTCTCCTTTGTTAGCATATCATCTATACTTGTTCCTTTTCATTTTTTAATGTAGTCGCGATAGTTTCCAATATATATTTACAACTAATTCAGGCCCACATTCAAATGACACTGTGGTTTCGTGGGTAGTTTAAAAAGCTCATAATTTTAAAAAATCCTAATTTTCCATCTTTTCCATTGTATTATTGTTGTCTTTTGTTTTAATTTTACATAAACATACATATATGGGTATGTTTAAAAATACATGATGGAGTACACTGTTGCTATCGTTGTTTTGTACAAACTGTTAGATCTAAATAGACAGTTTTCAGAAGAAGATATCCAAATGGTTGGGGAAATGCAAATTAATACCACAATGAAATACCACCTCACACCTGTTATGATGTCTTTTATGAAAAAGACAATAAATAAGTATAGGAGAAGATGTGAAGAAAAGGGACCCTGTGCGCACTGTTGGTGGGGTGGGTTATTTCTACCACATGGAAAAGAGTAGAGAATCCTTACAGAATTAAGAAAGGAACTACCATATGGTCCAGCAGTTCCATATCTGTGTATTTATCTAGGGGAGTGAAATCATCATCTCAAAAAGATATGTGTACTCCATGTTTATTGCTGCATTATTTACAATATCCAAGACATGGAAACAACCTAATTGTCCGTTGATGGATGAGTGGATAACAAACACGTCATATATATGGAATACTATTCAGTTTTATTCAACCATTAAAACAAGAAGGAAGTTTTGCATTTATAGCAACATGATTGGATTTTACAGGCATTATGCTAAGTGAAATAAGTCAGAGAGAGGAATCCTGTTGTCCCTATGTTTCCACAGAAACATAGGATCCCCTGCACATACTTAAATCTGGGGATGTTTAAGTCCCATAGTCAGCCTTGTGATTCTGAAGTTTCCCATTGTTTTAAAAATATAAGTAAATTAATTAATAATATTTATTTTGACTGTGTTGGGTCTTCGTTGCTGCTCGTGGGCTTTCTCTAGTTGCAACAAGCGGGGGCTGCTCTTCGTTGTGGTGCGTGGGTTTCTCAATGCCGTGGCTTGTTGTGGAGCACAGGCTCTAGGCGCACAGGCTTCAGTAGTTGTGGCACGCAGGCTTCAGCATTTGTGGCTTGTGGGCTCTAGAGTGCAGCCTCAGTAGTTGTGGTGCACGGGCTTAGTTGCTCTGTGGCATGTGGGATCTTCCCAGCCCAGGGCTCGAACCCATGTCCCCTGCATTGGCAGGTGGATTCTTAACCACTGCACCACCAGGGAAGCACAAATTTCCCATTTTTGGATTCATCCAACTAAAGATCATGTAGTGCTGTGTATTTATTGGAAAATATCCCTGTATAAATGGACCCAAGCAATTCTAACCCATGTTATTCAAGGTTTAACTGTATTACATGATTATACTTACATGGGAAATCTTTGAAAAAATAACAACAACAACAACAAACTCAGATGCAGACAACAGATTAGTGATTGCCAGAACACGGGAAGGTGGGTAGATGACATGGGTGAAGGGTTTCAGAAGTTACAGACTTCTAGTTATGATTAAGTCCTGGGGATGTAATTCACAGCATAGTGACTTTAGTTAGTAAAAACCTATTGTATATTTAGAAGTTTTTAAGAAAGTAGACCTTAAAAGTTCTCGTCAGAAGAAAGAAAACTGTAAGACATAATTCAGCTGAACTTATGTGGTAGTCATTTCAGTGTGTACATATATAGAGTCATGTTGTACAGCTTAAAGATATATGATGTTCCCCAACAATTATGTGTCAGTAAAATATTTTTTATTCTGATGCTCTTCATTTCTCTATGAAACCCAAATTTCTGATCTATATCATTTACCATCTGTCTCTCTTTTTTTTTTGGCCATGCTGTGCCACATGCAGCATCTTAGTTCCTGGACCAGGGATCAAGCCCATGCCCCCTGCAGTGGAAGCATGCATGGTAGCCACTGGACTGCCAGGGAAGTCCCTTCATCTCTCTGAAGAACTTCTTTTAATATATTCCCACAATTTTTCTGTATGTAAAAAGTGTTTATTTCATCATCACTGTTGAAGGGTAATTTTTGCTGGATACCCATGTCCCCTGCATTGGGTTGCTGAAGGTCACCTCCCACACCCACCCTGAGCACTTTAAATGTTTCACTTCATTCTCTTCTTGTCTGCATGAGTTCTGAGGAGAATTCAACTGTAATTGTTTTTGTTGCTTCTCTGTGGGTAAGGTGTTTATTCCTTTGGCTTCTTTCAGGACTTTTTTTGTGCATTTGAATGTGATATTCCCAGGTGTAGTTTTTTCACATTAAACCTGCTTGATGTTCTCTGAGCTTCCTGGATCTGTGCTTTGGTGTCTGATAGTAATTTGGTGGAAATTCTCCATCATTATTGCCTCAAATATTTTTTCTGTTCCTTTGTCTCTTTATCCTTTTGATGTTTCCATATGTGTATGTTAAACCTTTTGTAGTTGTCCCACCAATATTGGATTTTTCTTTTGTCTTGTCCTTTCTTCTTTTCAGTTTTGGAAGTTTTTCCTAAGAGAACATCAAGCTCAGATTCTTTCCTCACCTATGTCCAGTTTATAAATAAGCCTATCGCAGTCATTTTTCATTTCTGTTAAGGTGTTCTCAATCTCTAGCATTTCTTGATTCTTTGTTAGATTTCCCGTCTCTTTGCTTACATTGCTTTTCTGCTCTTGTATGCTGTCTGCTTTATCCATTCGCAGACATTAATTAGCATATTAATCATAATTGTTTTATATTCCCAGCGTGATCATCCCAACATTCCTGTGATATCTGATTCTGGTTTTGAAGTTTCGTGTGTTCAAACTTCGTTTTGTGGGACACTGCAAATCTTCAGTAGACTCCATAGTTGCAAAAGAGTTACATCAGTTAGATTGTTCCCGTTTAGGTGAGGAGATGGATTCTTAACAGTCTGTATTCTATCCACTGTTCATCCTTCCCCACTCTGGCTCCACTGGATGTTCTTTTGGTGGTATTTAAATATCCTTCCTTGGTCTATTGTGTACTGAGTTCCTCTGGGCTCATGTTGGCCACTTACCTGTCCTGACTCTGTTAGGGCTTGTATCATTTCTGTCCCATGTAGTTTTTCAGCTGGAGACGGAGAGTCTTTGGTGGTTTCATGAGATGGACCTGACTCTAGTTTCAGTATAAAGAGCTTACAGATAGCCTGGTAAGATGAATGGCCGCTGGGAGAGGGCTTGCTATAAGGTCTGTGTTGAGAAATAATACCTGGAATGTATCTTATTTGACTAGTGTTTTAGGGCCATTGTCAGTGGCCCCCAATTACTTCTCTTGTCCTTTCTCCATTCTTGACATTCTGCTAATTTGTACTTTTTACTCCTTCCCTTTTTTTTTTTTCTTTTGACCATGCCCCACGGCCTGTGGGATCCTAGTTTCCCAACCAGGGGTTGAACCCACACTCCCTGCATTGGAAGCATGGAGTCTTAACCACTGGACCACCAGGGAATTCCCTACTTCCCTTTTTTTTTTGTGTGGTACGCAGGCCTCTCACTGTTGTGGCCTCTCCAGTTGTGGAGCACAGGCTCTGGACGCACAGGCTCAGCAGCCATGGCTCACGGGCCTAGCCGCTCCGCGGCACGTGGGATCTTCCCAGACCAGGGCACGAACCCACGTCCCCTGCATCGGCTCCTGTGCCACCAGGGAAGCCACCTACTTCCCATTTTTATTCTGACTCCAGCCTGGGATAATTTCCTTACCACCTCTCTAACCCATTTATCTCACATTCTCTTCACATTGTTTTCCCCTTTGTACTTACTGGTATAGTTTATGTCCTCAACCATGTATATATCCTTTAATATTTCTTGAACACCAGCTACCAGTTGCAGTCAGATTTTCTGGGGCCTGGAAATACGCTTCTGCATAGTATGATAGGTCACCAGTAGATGTGGTCCTGGTAAAAGCCATTGACAGGGGAGTGAATTGTCGAACTTGCCTTTTGCCTTGGGCCACATGCAGTCCCTGTGTCCTGTACTTGGTGAGAGCACCTTCTTTCCCAATTTGACCCCAACTCCATTTCCTGAGCACAATCCTGTGGACTGCTTCCTTCATGTGTCAGATATACAGTTATGATGGTGTCACTCACACCCAATAACATGAACAAGAACTTCACCATCACTTCTTTGTTTTCAGGTTCTTGGCACCGGGTCAAGGATGAAGAGACACCTTCTGAACAAAGCGTATCTGTAGAAGGAGTGTCACAGATCAGGACTCCCAGCACAGGTTCATCTCCTGAGAAGGCCCAGCCCTGTAAGATGTGCATCCCAGTCTTGAGAGACATTTTACACTTGGTTGAAGAGGAAGGAACAAATAGGGGGCAGAAATCATACACATGTGGGGCATGTAGGAAACAGTTCTATTTCACTGCAAACCTTCAAGAGCACCAGAAGCAGCACATTAGAGAGAAACCCTTCAGCTGTGATATGGGGAGACCCGCATTTTTCAAAAGCTGCACAATCCATGCAACAGGGAATCTCTCTACCTACATGGAGACTGGGAACAACTATGTGGCCAAAATTGGACTTCAGAAACAGGTCACTAATACCATGAAGAAACTGAAGAACAGTAAGGAGTGTGAATCTGTTTTTGACAGTGGAAAATGTCATCACAGCTGGGGAGAAGGCAACAAATTCTCCAGCCACACAGAAATACTTGTTCAGTCTGAGAGAGTCCTCACTTGTGAAAGGTTTTGTGAATGCAGCAACTGTGGGAAAGCCTGCACCCAAAGAAGTAACCATAGTCAGCACCAGAAAGTTCACACTGGAGAAAGGCCTTATGAATGCAGCCAATGTGGAAAATTTTTTACCCACAAATCTAGTTTCCTTACACATCAGAGAGTTCACAGTGGGGAAAGGCCTTATGAGTGCAGTGAATGTGGAAAATCTTTTACTACTAGGTCTGGCCTCTATTATCATCTGCGAGTTCACACTGGAGAAAGGCCTTATGAGTGCAGTGAATGTGGGAAATCTTTTAGTAATAGGTCAATCCTTTGTAATCATCAGAGAGTTCACAGTGGAGAAAAGCCTTTTGAGTGCAGTGAATGTGGGAAATTCTTTAGCCGAAACGGACACCTCAGTGCCCATAAGAAAGTTCATACTGGAGAAAAGCCTTATGAATGCAATAAGTGTGGAAAATTTTTTACTGCTAAGACGAGCCTTCATTACCATCAGCGAATTCACAGTGGAGAAAAGCCTTATGAGTGTAGTCAATGTGGGAAATCTTTTACTACTAGCTCTGGTTTCTATTATCATCAGAGAGTTCACAGTGGAGAAAGGCCTTATGAGTGCAGTGAATGTGGGAAATCTTTTACTAGTAGTTCTGGTCTCTATTATCATCAGAGAGTTCACAGTGGAGAAAGGCCTTATGAGTGCAGTGAATGTGGGAAATCTTTTACTAGTAGTTCTGGTCTCTATTATCATCAGAGAGTTCACAGTGGAGAAAGGCCTTATGAGTGCAGTGAATGTGGGAAATCTTTTACTAGTAGTTCTGGTCTCTATTATCATCAGAGAGTTCACAGTGGAGAAAGGCCTTATGAGTGCAGTGAATGTGGGAAATCTTTTACTAGTAGTTCTGGTCTCTATTATCATCAGAGAGTTCACAGTGGAGAAAGGCCTTATGAGTGCAGTGAATGTGGGAAATCTTTTACTACTAGTTCTGCTCTCTATTATCATCAGAGAGTTCACAGTGGAGAAAGGCCTTATGAGTGCAGTGAATGTGGTAAGTGTTTTACTGGTAGCTCAAGCCTTAATCGTCATCAGAGAGTTCACAGTGGAGAAAGGCCTTATGAGTGCATTGCATGTGGGAAATGTTTTAGTATTGTATCTGATCTTTATGTTCATCAGAGAATTCACACAGGAGAAAGGCCTTATAAGTGCAATGAATGTGGGAAATGTTTTACTGATAGGTCAAGCCTTCGTTGTCATCAGAGAGTTCACACTGGAGAAAGGCCTTATGAGTGCACTGAATGTGGGAAATCCTTTAGCCGAAGACAGCTACTCTATATCCATAGGAAAATCCACACTGGAGAAAAGCCTTGTGAGTGAAAGGAATGTGATAAATATTATTGAAAGGTGCCACTTCATTAAACATCAGTTCACACTGGTAAAAGGGCCTTATGAATATAGTGAATATAGATGGAACTAATGTTCAAAGAGTTTGAGATTGTAACAGGGTGGGAAGAGCCCCTGCAGTCACTGTGCAGCAAATGTACCCTTTCTTGGGACAAACTGTGGCACAGAGAGAATGTATCATCTGTTATGAACAGCGATCTGGATTCAATGCCAGGTTGCCTGGTTCAGGACATAGGGAATCTGGTCACTTCAGTCCTTTTCCCCCGCTTCCCCCGTTGAGGACTCAAAGACACGTTGTCCATCCAGACACTTGCCCCCCACCCCAGGAGCCCTGCTGATACTATAGCCCCATGCTGATGAATAGGGCTGTCTTTTCTCTGGGAAACAACATTGATGGCTTTCTTGGAAATGACTCCCATTCATCTACCCAACCAAACCAGTGCTCATAGTGTTTTTATTCACATTTGTAAAGGAAGGCATGTGCAGCCCGGAGACATTGAGGGAATTCCACAAGACCTCACTACTGCTAGGCCTTTGATGAGAGTGCTTCCTCTACACTGCACCCTTCCAGTGGCCTCTCCTGCTTTGAGCAGGGACTCCCATTTTCTTTGTCCCAAAGATGAACTACCAACACCTGATGTGTTCTCCACCTGGGCCTCCAGCTTCATTTTTTACAGTGTACATGTCCTTCCTGTAAACACCCTCCCTTTTGGGACATTCTTACAGCGACAGCAGCACCAAGCCAGGCACTACGGAGAGGATCATTGGAGTCACCCCAGATGTGACACTGGCTCCACTGCCATATGCAGTGATTTGTTTTCAAGGTCCTTTCCTTTTTCGTAAACCCACTTCAGGATGTCCTTGTTTCCCCATTATGCAGTTGACCCGCTCACTGTTCTGGGCAGTGTGAAGGACACTGAAGGACTAGGAATGTCCACTGTAGCCCTTACATGGCCTGGTCCCCAAGGCTCTTCCTCCTCATCCCTTTTACCATCCCCTTACTGCTCCTCCCCCACCACCCTCCCCAAAATGTAAGTCACCAAATAATGATTTTTTAATCAGCAAGAACTTTCCTGCCCCCCTTTTGTGACCTACATTTGACCAACCTAGCTTAAAAGCTAAGACAGAATGCAGGCTGACTCCTCCGATGAAGACTGTAAAATCACAGTATAAAGTCAGTATGATTTTAATTGCTTTTTTCTCATGATTCTTTTTTTTTTTTGGGGGGGTGTACTTTGTGGCATGTGGGATTTTAGTTACCCAACCAGGGATTGAACCTCTGCCTCCTGCAGTGGGAATGCAGAGCCATAACTAGTGGACTGCCAGGGGATTCCCTTAGGATTTTTGAGTTTGAGTTTTTGGGGTTTTTTAAAATCTTTTTTTACCTGCCTGTCTTGTTTTGATAAATTTCTATTTTTGTCTTTTACCTCCTTTTATTTTGTGAGTTCTTGTTTGTTTTCTCTTTCCTTGACAAGTAAGAGATCAGGGAAACAACAAAGGTATCTGTGAGATTTCACACATTTACCCAATGTGAGTCACTTCTTTTCTGCATGGAATTGTAATTTGGCATAGTGAAAGAATATGTTCTCAATTTTTTCTTAATTTTGGTCTTATGCATAATGTAATGACCACGTACATTATATATGTTAAAGATAAATCTGGGGCTTCCCTGGTGGCGCAGCGGTTGAGAGTCCACCTGCCGATGCAGGGGACATGGGTTCGTGCCCCTCTCCGGGAAGATCCCACATGCCGCGGAGCGGCTGGGCCTGTGAGCCATGGCCGCTGAGCCTGCACGTCTGGAGCCTGTGCTCTGCAACGAGAGAGGCCACGACAGTGAGAGGTCTGCATACTGCAAAAAAAAAAAAAAAGATAAATCTGCACTAAACATATGCTACCTCAGGTTTTTTTCCTTTTTTTCCCCACACCACACAGCTTGTGGGACCTCAGTTCCCTGACCAGACATAAAACCCAGGCCCCAGCACTGAAAGCCTAGAATCCTCACCACTAGGCCACCAGGGAACTCCCATATCCTACCTCAGTCTTAAATCCAGATATTCAGTAACACAGTAAATGAAATCCTGCTTTGTAGTCTTTGCCAATTTCCCTGGTGTAAATACTCCCAGCATATCCAATGTCAAATTGCCAACATAATGTCACTGAATATGGAGTTGGGAAGCATTGCCAGGAGCCCACCATTGTATTCTTTTTCTACCTTACAGGTACAGTAGCCACAAATAATTTTAAGAATGTCGCTAATAAACCATAGTAGAATGATTATAAAGTGACAGGTTTTGCATATTTGTTTTTAAAATCGTTTAATATATGTATAGTTGACTGAAAATAAATTACATGTATCTTAAATGTACATTTTAACACTGTGATACTTGTGTAAAGCCCTGAAACCAGTTTCCTCCTGTCATTTTTAATTCATCCTCAAAATTAAAAATATAGATGCAAGAGCATATTCTACTTTTGAAATAACTTTTTTCAAATGTATATATAAATGGAATGACTGTGTAGGAAACTTCCTGTATATTACATCATTTACTGTATTTTTGTAGGTTTTTTGTGTTTGTGTATCATGATTTTACTTAGTGGTTTTTACAATTTATAATCCCAGGTATGTCTTTGAATACATAAATTTCTTTTTTTAATTTATTTTATTTATTTTTGGCTGTGTTGGGTCTTCGTCGCTGCACACAGGCTTTCTCTAGTTGCAGCGAGTGGGATCTACTTTTCTTTGCGGTGCATGGGCTTCTCATTGTGGTGGCTTCTTTTGTGGAGCACGGGCGCTAGTCGCATGGGCTTCAGTAGTTGCAGCACTTGGCATGTGGGATCTTCCCAGACCAGGGATCGAACCCATGTCCCCTGCATTGGCAAGCAGATTCTCAACCACTGCACCACCAGGGAAGCCCCTGAATACATAATTTCTTAAAATGTGTTTCTAAAATAAAAGAGCTCTTTCATAACTCCAGTAACTTTATTACACACGAAAGTATTCTAAATATCAGTGAATATCAGCACAAGTGGGGACACTGTGTGACAGATTTTGATTGCTAACACACTTCGATGCATCTTGTACCTACAAACTACCACAGCACAAAGGATTTATGACAGAAGTGAGAAACTGGGAAATAAAGTGGGAGATGCTGACCCAGCACAGCAGGTGTGGCTACAAAAGTCACAAATACTCCAGCGAGATTTTGGGGCAGACATGTGATAGAGATGCCCAACATTCTGGTGTGTGGGCCACACATAATCTCCCAGTCTTCCCGGATAATGTGCGATGAGGTGAGTGCAGACTGGTTTGGAAAGAACAACTTCTCCCACATTATTGCAAGTATGATGACGCACTGATGGTTTTCAGACCCGGGACTGGGTAACCACCTTGTTACAACCTGGAGTTTCACAGCTGTGAGCACCTTTGTCAAGCAAGCAGAAGGACTTGGGGTGGGGTTTTACAGGCTTTATGGGAGGTGTCAGGCTGCATTCAGCACATAGCATTTAGACTTAGGTTTGTCAAGCATGAGTCCCGAGGAGATGTGGGCAGGTTTTTTTTTGTTTGTTTTGTTTTGTTTTTTTAAATCAAAATCCACTACCATTTAAAGATTTTTAATTTTAATTTTATCTTTATTTATTTATTTGTGCTGTGTTGGGTCTTCGTTTCTGTGCGAGGGCTTTCTCTAGTTGTGGCAAGTGGGGGCCACTCTTCATCGCGGTGCGCGGGCCTCTCACTATCGCGGCCTCTCCCGTTGCGGAGCACAGGCTCCAGACGCGCAGGCTCAGTAGTTGTGGCTCACGGGCCTAGCTGCTCCGTGGCATGTGGGATCTTCCCAGACCAGGGCTCGAACCCATGTCCCCTGCATCGGCAGGCGGACTCTCAACCACTGCGCCACCAGGGAAGCCCCCGTGGGCACGTTTTTGATGATTAGCAATCATTATTTGGTGACATTTTTCTGTTGGGTAGGAGGAGCAGTTAGGCAGTGTGTCCTAGAGTTAGGAGTAAGAGCCTTGGGGACTTGGAGAGGGCTACAGTGGACGTTTCTAGTCCTTCAGTGTCCTTTACAGTGCTCGGAATAGTGACTGGGAGAATTTGGACACACACATCATGAAGCAGGTTCATGAAGATGGACATGACCTTGGAAACAAATCACTGCATGTGGTGGTGGAGGCCTGTGTCACATCTGAGGTGAAAATGAAGACTTGTGTATGTTGCTGGGTGGTGCTGCTGTCCCTGTGAAAATCTTCCTAATAGGGAGGCTGTTTGCAGAGAGGTGGTGTGCACTGGGGATAGTGGAGCTGGAGGCCCTGGTGGAGATGCAGACGTCAGGTGTGTGTAGTTCATGATTGGGACACAGCAGATGGAGTGCCTGCTGGAGGGGCCCAAAGAGATGCCATTGGACAGGTGCAGCTTAGAGGAATCACTCTCATCAAAGGCCTGAGAGCTGTGTACCTTTGTGAAAGTCCCTCCACCTCTCTAAGTTGCAGACTCCTCCTTTCACAAATTGCAGTAATAATAATTACTAGGTATCACTAGGTAGACTAGGTAGATAAATGGGGTCATTCACAGGAAAGCCATCAATGTTGGTTCCCAGTAAAATATACTCTTGTCCCTCAGCATGGGGTGTAGGGTATGAGTAGGGCTCTTGGGTGGAGGGTCACAGGGTATCAGATGGGCAAGGTGTTCTTTAAAGGAGTCCCCAAAGACTGAAAGATTGAGTTCAACATTAAGTAAAGACAGCTGAGAGTTTATAGTCAAGTAGAGTGAAGGAGTCAGTGGATGGAAAATTACCAACAGAAAAGAGGGTAACGGATGTTCTTGCTAAACCGACTTAATAAGGATCTTGCTATTCAGATCAGATATAAAGGGTAGGAAATGGGTGTTTGATCAGATATCAATGGGGGAGTTATTCTTACTAAACTGGCTTTTCAGGTTTGATAAAACTGGGCTATGCAGGCTTGTCCTCCAAACAATATAGGTTCATTTCTCATTTGGTTGTTTTTGTTCATTATGGACCAGCTGAGAGGAAATCAAGGTGAGTGTAGGAAGGCATGGAGCTCACGTTCCCCCACGAACACATCAAAAATAAATTTACTTTGGAACAATCCTCACTGAAAACTGGCAGAAGGACTCCTGTTAAACCAAGGCTGTAAGAAACATACACATGTAATTGGGCAGGAAGGGAAGAAAAGCAATGTGGTCAGGAGTTGTGGGACTCAGAGGAAGGGCGATCACTTGAGCAGTGAGCTCCCTGGGGAGTGAGTGGCTTGAAGTACAGACTAGGTGTTCCAGTCCTCGTGTCTATGTTGTGTAGCAAAGCTTTCTTGACGGGGTGGAGGACCACTGGGACACACAGAAAGGCTGGAGGAGACTGGACTTTGCTTGGGAGGAGTGAGCAAGCAAATGCCTGTCCCTGCGGCCAGGCAGAGAGGGGTCTGCATTAGCAGGTTTTTGCAGGTTTCTGGTGACCAGGATCTTAGCACACCCAAGTCAGAGTGGAGCAAATGCTCTGGCCTCACTAACTCCATGCCAGAGCACGGGACTGCACGTGTGGCCGCCAAGACCTGGGAAAAGAGTCGACGTTTGGAAGCAGAGGCAACCTGGTCCCAGTGCAGAGTCAGAGTGGGGCTTTGGTAGCCATTCTTGGCACTTACTCTCAAGGTATATCAGAAGCAGCCCAGTCTTCTGATGGTAGCTGGCTGGCCACAGCTCACCCACCCCACCATACATGCACAGAAACCACAGGGGCCTGCCTCCTCCCTATGGAGTGGTGCTGCAACACAGAGGGAGTGAGGGAGAGTGGAGATACTGATCAGGTGTGAGAGAGCAAGAGGTCTTGTTTCCAGTGCAGGGCAGAGATAGGGCTCTAGCAGCTGTTGAGTTCACCATGATCGCCTCACCATGGTCCCCAGTCCAGTGAACCCTGTCCAAGCCAAGAAAATGCTCCAGCCCACTGCATGCCACTGTGCAGAACTGGATCTGGGGCAGCCACAACTGGGGAAAAGACCCTAGGTTGCATCTGAGCATAGCCACAGAGGCCTACACAGGCAGCATACCAGACCCCTGTATGCACGAAAATCCCACTTGCTTTAACACTCCCTTCCTGTGGCTAAAGTCCCAGTGTGGGGAGAAGGAAGGACACACAATTAATGGGAACAAAGTCAGCCCCAGCCCGACCCTCACGGCTTCTGTTCCTGCAACTTGGGATCAGGTCTCACACCCGGTGCTGGCTGTAGTCCCTCAATCTCCAGTCTCAGCCCTTACTGTGTTGATAGCTGCCATCACGGCCTGAGGAAAGATGTGACTTGCCCCCACATCAAATCCAGCCCTCCCACCAAAAGCATTGGGTATACCCACTCTGCATAGTCATAGTCCCTCAGAAGGACACCCCTTCAAGACCCCAAAGGGAAACTGTATCACCTAAGTTTATAAAGATAGAGAAAGTTAAATAAAATGAAAATTGCCAATGAAATACTCTCAGTTGAGAGAAAGAGAAAACCCCTGAAGGAATAAACAATGAAACAGAAATAACTGTTACAATGTAAATAATTCAAAACATTGGTAATAAAAATATTAACTGAACTAGGAAAAATAATTGACCTAAACACTGGACATTTTAACAGAGAACTAGAAAACAAAAGGATACCCAATGAAAAATAAATACTTCAAGGGAGTTCTCTGGTGGCCTAATGGTTAGTATTTTGGGCTTTCACTGCTGTGGCCCGGGATCAATCCCTGGTTGGGGAACTGAGATCCAACAAGCTGCGTGGAGCGGCCAAAAAAAAAAAAAGTTCAATGGCTCAAATAAAAGGCACGCTAGCAGGAATGAACAGCAGAGGAAGAGATACAGAGAATGCATAAGTGGTCTGGAAGATAGAATAATGGAAATCACGGAATCAGGAAAGCAGACAGAAAAACTATGTTTTTTAAATGAAAAGAATGTAAAAGATCTCTTGGATAACGTTGTGTTCCAATATTCGAATTATAGAGGTTCCAGAAGGAAAAGAGAGGGAGCATGGGAACAAAAATATTTTTCAAGACATTATGGCTGAAAATTTCCTTTACCCGAAGAAGGAAACTGGTATTAAGGTACAGTAAGTATTGATACACAGGATCCCAAACAAGATGAACCCAAACAGACCCACACCAAGACATATCATAAGAAAATGGCAAAAGTTGAAGATAGAGTTCTCAATGCATCAAGAGAAAAAGAAAGAGTCATAAACTAGGGAATCCCAATAATGCTATCAGCTGTTTTCTCTGCAGACACTTTGCAGGCCAGAAGGGAATGGCAGGATATATTCAAAGTGCTGAAAGGGAGGAAGCTGCAACCTAGGATACTCTACCCAGCAAGATTATCATTTAGAAAAGAAGGAGAGATAAAGAACTTCCCAGAACAGCAAAACCCAAAAGAATTAATCAATACTAATCCTACCATAATAGAAATGTTGAAGAGTCTTCTCTAAATGGAAAATAAATAATAAACTTCAGGAAAGGGAAAATCTCACTAGGGAAGGCAAATATATAGTAAAGAATGAAGATCGTTTAAATAAGCTGGTAAGTAGATTTTTTTTAAATGTAGAAGGAAGTAGAACTACACACAACACGATAAGCACAAAGATGTAAAATATGACATCAAAAACACAACTACAGTAATTATTATTATTTTTGGGGGGGGGCCCTGTAACATGACTTGTGGGATCTCAGTTCCCTGAACAGGCATGGAACCCTGCCACGGCAATGAAAGCGCTGAATCCTAACCACAAGGCGAGCAGGGATCTCTCCAGAAATCAAATACAGTAAGAAAAATGGGAAAAGAACAAATATGTGGAGTCTAAATAACATGCTATTAAACCAATGGGTCAGTGAAGAGATCAAATGGGAAAGCAGCAAATATCTTAAGACAAATGTAAACTGAAGCACAACACTCCAAAATTTATGGGATGAAGCAAAAGCAATGCTAGGAGGGAAGTCTATAGCAATGCAGGCCTCAAGGAACAAGAGACAACTCAAATAAATAGCCTAACCTACTATCTATGAGAATTAGAAAAAGAAGAAGAACAAAGGTTCCCTTCCCCCTTAAGAAGACTGGCGCCCCTAAACTACTACCTATGAGAATTAGAAAAATAACAACAAACCTTCCGCGCTCCCTTAAGAAAATAGGAGCCCCTTTCCCGCCCTAGAAGTCATTTTCCAGTGCTTCCGTGGCGCAGCTTGGCTTTTTCCCGGCGATTCAGGTGCAGGGTGACAGTCCCTGAGTCCTTGGCACTACATTACCCAGAAGAATTTGCGCTAAGGCAGCGACGTTCATCCAATGAAAATCCAGGAAGGGAGCATTTCCGGGAGGGCGAACCTCCGGGAGAAGAACTTCCGGCGTCCTCGTGGCGCCCATTTTGATCGTGGAGCTAGTCGGAAGGTCGGAGTGTGCGGTGATGGGAGCGAGGTGACGGGCCAAGAAGACACAGGAGGAGGCTTTGTACACACTGCAAAGGGACGGCCTGAGTGTTGGGGACACCGCCGCCTGCGGAGTGCATCGGTACAAAGTCCGACCGGATCCCTCGACTTTCGCTACTCCTCTCCTCCCAGGAGCTCCGATGGCGGCGGCTGCGCTGACGGACCCGGCTCAGGTAAATGCTGCGGGCTCCGGGTTCTCTCCTGCCCGTTTCCCCACCCAAATACAAAACTCCTGAGTGAGAGGCGTCTGGTCCAGGACAGTGAGGCCTGCAGGGGTGGTGTCCCTATTTCTGACCACCGTTGAAATGTGGTATGAGTGAGGCTTGGAGATACAATTGAAGCAGGAATATTCGGGAACCCGGAGTCCATCTTGTTTCTGCGAGGAACGCAGTTTGAGGCCAGGCTGCACCTCGAGTGGTAGATGAGTGGTTGTGTTTCTCTTCTCAGGGCCCTGGGAGCGGTGGAGAGTTTTGAATAAAGGAAGGGCACAATCTGAGCTAGGCTTTTAAAAATAATCCAAAGTGTTCAACGGAAAGCAGAATGTAGGGGAATGATGAGGACATTGAGGCAGAGGGAAGTTGTGGCTTTTTTCAGGGTCACAACTGGTAAGTGGGAGCACTGAGGATGGAGGCACAGAGGAGAGGTTGCAAGTCAGCCAGAGTTTACCTGGCTCTGGTACTGGGCACAGGTCCAGGGAATGTGTGAGCCCCTGAAGCACTGCTTAGGTCACTTTCCTCCATCGCCTGCCTTTTCCCACAGATTCCATGGGCTGGAGAAGCACTTTGGGCAAGTGGAGGTTGTCCCAGTCCCTCACTTGGTCTCACCCCACACGCAGACATTCTGTGTATTTGAGGTGTCTTAGGATTCTTCACCTGCCATTCTCCCAGCACTTTGGTTTGTGGACCCTGGAGAACCCCATGCTTGGTTTCCTGAGTGCAGGCCAGCTTTTGTGGAGGGGGTTCTAGTTTCCCACCACTGATGAAATGAGGTGTGGAAGGTTACTCCTGGAACCGGTACCAGTATGTGGCAGTGATTTTTTTTTTTTTCTTTTTGCGGTACGCGGGCCTCTCACTGTTGTGGCCTCTCCCGTTGCGGAGCAACAGGCTCCGGACGCGCAGGCTCAGCGGCCATGGCTTATGGGCGCAGCCGCTCGGCGGCATGTGGGATCTTCCTGGACCGGGGCACAAACTCGTGTCCCCTGAATCGGCAGGCGGACTTTCAACCACTGCGCCACCAGGGAAGCCCGGCAGTGTTTTTTTAATGTTATTTTTGGCCCCAGTACACGGCATGCGGGATCCTTAGTTCTCCCACCAGGGATTGAACCTGTGCCCCCTGAAGTGGAAACTCGTAGCCTTAGCCACTGGACCACGAGGGAAGTCCCTGTGGCAGTGTTTTGAGGTGAGGCTGAGCTTGTTTAGGTAAGTGCAGGTCTCCTTTTTTCTGATGGAAATAAACAGGGAAGAACTGGAGTTAGACTTGAAATGACTGCCTGTGTATTCTGGAGGCAATGGGAGTTTCAGATCAAAGGAGGGAGGTTCTCTAGGTCTTGAGAGGCTCCATCTGGTTGGGCGGTAGGGGAAATGTGTGGGAAGATGGACTGTGGGTTTTCAGGAATGAGACTGTTCATGGTTATATTTGTCCCTGTTATACCAGGGCAGTGTGACCTTTGAGGATGTGGCCGTGTACTTCTCCTGCGAGGAATGGTGTCTTCTTGATGAGGTTCAGATACACCTGTACCTTGATGTCATGCTGGAGAACTTTGCCCTTGTCTGCATGCTGGGTAAGGCCCTGACACCCATCCCCATTCTCTGAGATAGGCTCTGCCTTTCTCCTTTTCCCCAAGGGTAGTTCTGTCCTTCTCACATCTGGACCATGGGCACTGCTTTCTTCTTAAAGTTATGTGCTGCAGTTACAATGGCTAGGCAGAGTGCATCCCTACTCCTTAGTGCCATGAAACTTGTAGCCCCAAAGTCTTGCAGGTGACCATTCAGGTTCATCAGTGTTGCAGTCTGCTTTAGAGATCCCTCCTTGCTTGCCCTCTCCTGGGCCAAGTGAGGGTACGGATCCATACTACCCAAAGTTTGCTCCATTTCAGCACCCGACGGTATTTATTTATTTATCTCTCTGTCTGTCTATCTATCTATCTATTTATTTATGGCTACATTGGATCTTCATTGCATGTGGGCTTTCTCTAGTTGAGCCGAGTGAGAGCTACTGTTCTTTGTAGTGCATGGGCTTCTCATTCCGGTGGCTTCTCATCGCAGAACATGGGTTCTAGGCCTGTGAGCTTCAGTAGTTGTGGCGTGCAGGCTCTATAGCACAGGATCAGTAGTTGCAGTGCATGGACTTAGTTGCTCCACGGCATGTGGGATCTTCCTGGTGCAGGGATTGATCCCATGACCCCTGCATTGGCAGGCAGGTTCTTAACCACTGCACCACAGGGAAGTCCTTAAAATATTAAATAAGGAACTACAGTATGATCCAGCAATTCCACCCCTGTGTTTATCCAAAGGGTGTGAAATCATATCAAAAAGATATCTGGGGACTTCCCTGATGGCACAGTGGTTAAGAATCCACCTGCCAATGCAGGGGACACAGGTTCGAGCCCTGGTCTGGGAAGATCCCACATGCTGTGGAGCAACTAAGTCCGTGTGTCACAACTACTGAGCCTGTGTTCTGCAACAAGAGAAGCCACTGCAGTGAGAAGCCCATGCACCACAACAAAGAGTAGCCCCTGCTCGCCACAACTAGAGAAAGCCCGTGTGCAGCAACAAAGACCCAAAACAGCCAAAAATAAATAAGTAAATTTATTTAAAAAAAACAACAAGATATCTGTACTCCCTGTTTATTGCAGCATTATTTACACTATCCGAGACATGAAAAGAACCTAAGTGTCCATTGATGGATAAACGGGTAACAAATTGTGCTGTATATGGAACACTATTCAATATTGTTCAACCATTAAAAGAAAAAAATCCTGCCATTTTTAATGACATGGATGGACCTTGAGGGCATTATGCTAAGTGAAATAAGTCTGACAGGGAAAGACAAATACAGTTGTTTGTCAGTTTCCAGAGAGGATTGATTCCAGGAGCCCCTGCATATACTGAAATCTGCAGATGATGAAGTTTCACAGTCAGCCCTGTGATTCTGAAGTTTTGCATTTGTGGATTCATTCAACTACAGATCATGTGGTGCTGTGTTTATTTAATTAAACGTAACCATGTGTAAGTGGACCCATGCAGTTCTAACCCATGTTGTTCAAGAGTCAGTTGTACTCCATAATTACACTTACATGGGGAATCTTTTCCTTTTGGCTGTGACGAGTCTTAGTTGTGGCATGCGGGATCTTCATCGAGGCATGTGGGATCTTACGTTGGGATGCTCAGGCTCTTTGTTGTGGCGCAAGCTTCTCTAGTTGTGGTGTGCAAGTTTTTCTCTTCTCCAGATGTGGTGCGCAGGCTCCAGGGTTTGTGGGCTCTATAGTTGTGGCACGCAGTCTCTAGTTGAGGTGTGTGAGCTCAGTAGTTGTGGCGTGCATGCTTAGTTTTCCCGCAGAATGTCAGATCTTAGTTTCCCGACCAGGGAATGAAACCTGCGTCCCCTGCATTGGAAGGCACATTCTTTACCACTGGACAACTGGGGAAGTCCCTGGAATCTTCAAAGAAAAACACACACACACACCCCAAATTCAGAGACAGCACAGAAATTAGTGGTTGCTGGAGTAGGGGATGGGTGAACAGGGTTAGATGAAATGCGTGAATGGTGTCAGAAGCTACAGACTTCTAGTTGTAACGTGAATAAGTCCTGGGGATGTAATGCATAGCTTAGTGATTATAGTTAATTATACTGTATGGTGTATTTCAAATTTGCTAAGAGAGTAAATCCTAAAAGTTCTCATCAGAGGAAAAAAATTGTGGTGTTAACTAAACTTATTGTAATCATTGCACAACATATACACATATCAAATTATGTTGTGCAGCTTAAACAAATACAATGTTTCACATCAATTATATGTCAGTGAAACTTTTAAAATTCTACAGTGCTCTTCCTTTCTCTGTGAAATCCAAATTTCTGATCTTTATTATTTTCCATCTCTCTAAAGAACTTTTTTAAAATGAATTCCCATGATTTTTGTGCATCTAAGAACGTGTTTATCTCACCATCAGTGTTGAAGAGTAATTTTATTGCATTCTGAATTCTAGGCTGACATTGGCCACTCCCCAACCCCACCTCCTCCAAACTTCAAATGTTTCACTCTTTTCTCTTGTTTGCATGATTTCTGAAAATTCAGATGTTATTATTTTTGTTGTTTCCCCATGACTAAAGTGTTTATTCCTCTGGTTTCTTTTGGGATTTTTTTTTTTCTTCTGTATTTGAATGTGATACGCTTAGGTGTAGTTTTGTTGTTGTTGTTGTTGTTTTAAATAAATTTATTTATTTACTTATGGATGTGTTGGATCTTCGTTTCTGTGCGCAGGCTTTCTCTAGTTGTGGTGAGTGGGGGCTACTCTTCATTGCGGTGTGCAGGCTTCTCATTGTCATGGCTTCTCATTGTGGAGCATGGGCTGTACATTCGCAGGCTTCAGTAGTTGTGGCATGTGGGCTCAGTAGTTGTGGCTTGTGGGCTCTAGAGTGCAGGCTCAGTAGTTGTGGCACACAGGCTTAGTTGCTCCACAGCATGTGGGATCTTCCTGGACCAGGGCTTGAACCTGTGTCCCCTGTATAGGCAGGTGGGTTCTTAATCACTGTGCCACCAGGGAAGCCCCAGCTTAGGTGTAGTTTTTTGGTATTAAACCTGCTTGATGTTCTCTGAGCTTCCTGGATCTGTGGGTTGGTGTCTGACATTAATTTGGTGGAAATTCTCCATCATTATTGCTTCAAATATTTTTTCTATTCCTTATTCTTTTTTTCTTTTGATGTTTCTATATATGTATGTTAAAGCATTTGCAGGTGTTATACAGTTTTTAGATAATCTTTTTTTATTAGTCCTTTTTCTCTTTTTCAGTTTTAGAAGTTTCTACTACAAGAACCTCAAGCTGAGATATACTTTCCTGAGTTGTGTCCAGTCTTAATAAGCCCATCCTATTCATTCTTCATTCCTCTTCTGTTCTTTTTGATCTCTAGCATTTCCTTTTGGTTCTTTATTAGAATTTTCATCTCTGCTTTCATTGCCTTTTTTGTCTTGTATGCTGTCTGCTTTATCCATTAGCAGGCATTAATTAGCGTATTAATCATAATTGTTTTATATTACCAATTTGATCATTCCAACATCCCTGTGATATCCCTCCCTCCCTCCCTCCCTCCTTTCTTCCTTCCTCCCCTCCCCTCCCCTTCCCTTCCCAGCATGCAAGATCTTAGTTCCATTACCAGGGATCAAAGCAGTGCCCCCTACAGTGGAACTGTGGAGACTTAACCGCTGGATCCCTAGAGAAGTCCCTCCCTGTGATATCTGATTCTAGTTTTGAAGCTTCCTTTGCCTTTTCAAAATTTGTTTTTTGGCCTTTTAGTTGGCCCTGTAATTTTCTTCTTTGTAACTGGCATGATGTATTCCCTAAAAGGAACCATTGTAGATAGGCCTTTATTGATGTGTTGGTAAGATGTGGAGAGCGGAAGCATGCATGTTGCTGTTAGCATTCATATTGTATTTAATTTTCAATCTTTTAATGAGCCTGTGTGTCTGGATCCTGAACTCCACAACTTCTTCTCAATTTAATTTTCCCTCCCTTAGTTGGGACAGGATGGGTATTGGGGGCTGTAGTTGGGTATTTCCTCTTTCCCAGGTAAGTTAGGCTTTGATAAAATGACAGTAGGTTAGGCTCTGGTTAAGTAATTTCTACTGAGGGTGGGCTTTGTTAAGAACAGAATGTTCTGGCTATTTTGTTTTTCTAATCTTCATTTCTTTTTTCAGAAGGCTTTGTTTAGTTTGTTTGTTTTGTAGTTCCTCAAGTTGTAAAGGTACATTGTTGATTGATATTTCTTTGTTTATGTGTAAGCATTTATAGATGTAAATTTTCTCCTTAGTACTGCTTTTGTGGCATCCTATAAGTTTTAGTATGTTATATTATTGTTTTTTTTAGTCTCTTAAGTATTTTCTAGTTTCCTGTGTGAGTTTTTTTTTCATGGACCTATTGGTTGTTTCAAAGCATGTTGTTTAATTTCCAGAAATTTGTGGATATTTGTTTTCCATATGTGATTGATCTCTATCTTCAATCTGTTTCAGTTGGAGAGGACAGATTGTATGATCTTTATCTAATTTAAACTATTGTTCCTGTCTATTTGCTGAGAGCAGAACATTGAAGTGTCCCCATACTATAGTAGAACCGTTTCTGTTTTCAGTTCTGTCAGGTTTTGCTTTATATTTGATTGTCTATTATGAGGCGTGTAAATATATATACTTATTTTTATTTTTTTATTTATATTTGGCTGCGTTGGGTCTTTTGTTTTGTTTTGTTTTGTTTGCGGTATGCGGGCCTCTCACTGTTGTGGCCTCTCCCGTTGTGGAGCACAGGCTCCAGACATGCCGGCTCAGTGGCCATGGTTCATGGGCCCAGCTGCTCCACGGCATGTGGAATCTTCCCAGACCGGGGCATGAACCCACGTCCCCTGCATCGACAGGTGGACCCTCAACCACTGCGCCACCAGGGAAGCCCTTTTTAAAAATTTATTTTATGTATTTATTTTTGGCTGTGTTGGGTCTTCATTGCGGCATGCAGGCTTTTCATTGTAGTGGCTTCTCATTGCAGAGCACAGGCTCAAGGCGTGTGGGCTTGAGTAGTTGTGGCACGTGGGCTCAGTAGTTGTGACACACAGGCTTAGTTGCTCCACGGCATGTGGGATCTTCCCAGACAAGGGATTGAACCTATGTCCCCTACATTGGCAGGCAGATTCCCAACCACTGCACCACCAGGGAAGTCCCTAGACTTCTTTATTGTTTGATATGAATAATAGCCACCCCTGTGTTCTTTTGGTTACTATTTGCATGAAATATCTTTTTCTAATCTTTCATTTTCAATTTAATTGACTTGTCAACAGCATACAGTTGGATCATTTTAAAAAATCTGTCAGTCTGTCTTTTGCTTTGAGTGTTTAATCCATTTACATTTAGAGCAATTACTGATAAGAGGTATTTTTGTCATTTTGCTCTTTGTTTTCTGTATGCCTTAGAGCTTGTTGTTCCTTATTTTTTCTTATTTTCTCGTTTTGTATTTAGTTAAATTTGCTTAGTGATATGTTTTAGTTTTCATTTCCTTTGTGTACATTATATGATTACTTGTAGTTACCATGGGGATTACATTTTATATCCTAAATCTGCCAGCATACTAATTTTAATTTACACCAGCTTACCATCAATAACATTACAAAAACATTTCTGCTTCTGTAGTGCTCTGTCCCCACTATTTTCTAGTATTGATTTTACAAAATTACATACTTGTATGTGGTGTGTTTAAGCTGAGACTATGGTTTCTTTAAATGCATTATTCTCTGCAATCAGGTAGAAAAAGAAAAAGTGCTGTTATAAACTTACAATCACAGTAGCTTTTATAATTTTCTATGGATTTACCTTTATCAGAGACCATCATTTCTTCAAATAACTTTGAATTACTGTTTAGTGTTTTTTTCATTTCAACCTGAAAAAATCCATTTAGCATTTGCTGCAAGACAAGTCTAGTGTTAAAGAACTTCTTTAGCTTTTGTTTATGTTGGAATATGTTAATTTTCCTTAGCTTTTGAAGGATATTTCCCTGATGTAGGGTTATTGGTTGACACGTTATTTTCCTTCAGCAACTTAAATATACCAGCCCACTGTGTTCTGGCCAGATTTCTGATTAGAAATGTGCTGATAACCTTGGGGATCCCTTGTCTGGAATGAGTCACTTCTCTCGCTGATTTCAAGATTCTTTGTCTCTGCATTTCAACAGTTTTATTATAATGTGCTTCAGTATGGCTCTCACAGTCTATTCTGCTTGGAGTTTATTTAGATTTTGGGATGTTTCTATTCATATCAATCCATAAGTGTGCTATGTTTTTCTGTTCTGAATCCCTCTAGTGTTTGTTTTTTTTTCACTTCAGCAATTGTACTTTTCAGTTCCCAAATTTCCTTTTTTGCAATGCTTATACTTTCTTTCTCTTTATTGTTATTTCTACTTTGTTCAGACAACACTTTTTTCCTGTACACCTGTTTTTTTTAGCAATTGTACTTTGCAGTTCCCAAATTTCCATTTTTACGATACTTATACTTTCTATCTCTTTACTGTTATTCCTACTTTGTTCAGGCAACACTTTTTTTTTCTGTACACCTGGTTTTTTTTTTTTTTCAGTTATTCGAACATCCTTTAGTCAGTTTTTAAGTCTTTCTAGTTAGTTCACCATCTATTTTTTGTGTACCTGTTTATAAGTTACAGTTGCGGTTGATTTGTTATTTTCCTTTGACTGCATCATACGTTCCTGTTTCTTTGTATGTCTTGTGAGTTTTTGTCATTGAAAACTGAGCATTTGTATCTTATAATATTGTAACTCTGGAGATCCTGTATTCACTTTAACAAGGGTTTGCTGGTATGGGCTTCTCTTTGTTTTTGATGTTTTCAGGTGACTCTTTCCTGGATATCAACATGAGGTGTAAACTTAAGGGGTTTTCACTGTGCCTTTCTTGGGGATGCACTATGACTTTTGAAATTTCTCTATATAAGTGGCTAATTTTGAATGTCTTAGTCCTTAAATATCTCACTCTCCAAAAGTGAAAAACCAGAAAAATGAAGAGTGGAAAAAGAGACACTGGCCCTTAAAATCAGGTGGGGAGACGGATTCATAACACGTTGTACTCCATCCACTGTTGTTCAGGTTGGGAGTGGATTCCTAACACCTATTACTCCATCCAGTGTTTTTCAGGTAGGGAGATGGATTCCTAACCCATCCCCTGTTTTACAAGTGGGGAGAAAAACACCTAACATTTTGTTTCCGTTTTGTTTCCTAGCATTTTGTACTCCATCCACTGTACATCCTTCCCTCTGGCTCCACTGATGTTTCTGTTTGTAGTATTTAAATACCATTCTTTTGTCTGTTGTGTGCTTAGTTCCTCTGGGTTCGTATTTGCCACTCACCCATCCTGACATTCCATTAGGCCTTGTGTCATATGTGTCCCATGTAGTTGTTCAACTGGGGATGGAGAGTCCTTGGGGCTTCACAGGATGGACATGACTCTGGTCTCAGCAAAAAGAGCTCACAGGTAGTCTGGCCAAGATGAATGGCAGCTGGCAGAGGGCTTGATATCAGGTCTGTGTTTTAAGTCATATCAGGAACATATCTTGTGTGATTAGTGTTTTAGCCCCATTGCCAGTGGCCCCAAATCACTTCTTTTGTCTTTTCTCCATTCTTGGTACTCTGCCAAATTGTCATTTCTACTACTCATTTTTATTCTGACTGCAGCCTGGGATTTATTCCCTACCACCTCTCTAAGCCACTTCTCTCATGTAGTCTTCACATTGTTTTCTCTATAGTACTCTATGACATTGTGCAGGTATCTTTGAATGGCATTAGGAGGGTATACTTTAATGTTCCATGAATACCAACTACTGTTTCAGTAAGATTTTCTGGTGCATGGGCATATACTTGTGCGCAGTATCACAGATCAGCAGCAGATGTCCTAGTGAAAGCCATTGACAGAGGAGTGAACTGTAGAACATACCTTTCACCCTTGGGCCACATCCAGTCCTTGTGTCCTGTGCTTGGTGAGGCCGTGTCAATTCTGTGACCTTAAGTCCCAATAATGCAGAACAGCTGCATCCTCAATTTGACCCCAGCTCCATTTACTGAACACAGTCCCATGGATTGGTTCTTCCATGTGTCAGACATACAATTGTGATGGTGTCAACCCCATCCAACGTCAACATGAATTTCACCATCACGTCTTTGTTTTCAGGTTCTTGGCGTGGAGTCGATGAAGAGACACCTTCTGAAGAGAACATATGTGTGGAGGGAGTATCACAGATTAGGACCCCCAGGGCAGGTTCATCTGAGAAGGCCCAGCCCTGTAAGATGTGCATCCCAGTCTTGAGAGACATTTTGCACTTGGCTGAAGAGCAGGGAACAAATAGGGGCCAGAAAGCATACACATGTGGGGCATGTGGGAAACAGTTCTATTTTACTGCAAACCTTCAACAGCACCGGAAGCAGCACATTAGAGAGAAACCCTTCCGATGTGATGTGAGGAGAATTGCATTTCTGAAGAGCTTCACAGTCTACGCATCAGGGAATCTCTCTGTGTACAGTGAAATTGGGAAGAAATTAGCAGCCAACATGGGACTTCAGCAACAGGCCACTAATATCAGAAAGGAACAAAACAACAGTCACGAGTGTGAAGCTGTTTTTCACAGTGGAACAATTCGTCGGAGCTGGGGAGAAGGCAGGAAATCCTCCAGCCACACAGATATGTATGAGAGAGTCATCACTAGTGAAGCATTTTGTGAGTGCAGCAAATGTGGGAAAGCCTGCACCCAAAGGTGTAATCTTATGCAGCACCAGAGAGTTCACACTGGAGAAAAGCCTTATGAGTGCAGTGAATGTGGAAAATCCTTTACCCGAAGCCACCACCTCAGTGTGCATAGGAAGATCCACACCGGAGAAGAGCCTTATGCATGCAAGAAATGTGCTAAATCTTTTCTCCAAAGGTCCAGCTTCATTCAACATCTGCGAGTTCACACTGGAGAAAAGCATTATGAATGCAGTGAATGTGGAAAATCTTTTAGCAAAAAGTCCAATTTCCTTCAACATAAGAGAGTTCATACTGGAGAAAGGCCTTACGAGTGCAGTGAATGTGGCAAATCCTTTATCCATAGATGTCAACTGTTTATACACCAGAGAGTTCACACAGGAGAAAGGCCTTATGAGTGCAGTGAATGTGGGAAATCCTTTATTCATAGATGTCAACTTCTTATACACCAGAGAGTTCATACAGGAGAAAGGCCGTATGAGTGCAGTGAATGTGGGAAATCTTTTACAGTTAGGTCTGTCCTGCAAAATCATCAGAGAATTCATACTGGAGAAAGGCCTTATGAGTGCAGCCAATGTGAGAAATCCTTTATCCATAGATGTCAACTTCTTATACACCAGAGAGTTCACACAGGAGAAAGACCTTATGAGTGCAGTGAATGTGGGAAATCTTTTACAGCTAGGTCGGCCCTCCAAAATCATCAGAGAATTCATACTGGAGAGAGGCCTTATGAGTGCAGCCAATGTGGGAAATCCTTTATCCATAGATGTCAACTTCTTATACACCAGAGAGTTCACACAGGAGAAAGGCCTTATGAGTGCAGCCAATGTGGGAAATCTTTTACAGCTAGGTCTGGCCTCCAAAATCATCAGAGAATTCATACTGGAGAAAGACCTTATGAATGCAGCCAATGTGGGAAATCCTTTATTCATAGATGTCAACTTCTTATACACCAGAGAGTTCACACAGGAGAAAGGCCTTATGAGTGCAGCCAATGTGGGAAATCTTTTACAGCTAGGTCTGCCCTCCAAAATCATCAGAGAGTTCACACAGGAGAAAGGCCTTATGAGTGCAGTGAATGTGGAAAATCCTTTATTCATAGATGTCACCTTCTTATACACCAGAGAGTTCACACAGGAGAAAGGCCTTATGAGTGCAGTGAATGTGGGAAATCCTTTATTCATAGATGTCAACTTCTTATACACCAGAGAGTTCACACAGGAGAAAGGCCTTATGAGTGTAATCAATGTGGGAAATCTTTTACAGCTAGGTCTGGCCTCCAAAATCATCAGAGAATTCATACTGGAGAAAGGCCTTTTGAGTGCAGCCAATGTGGGAAATCCTTTATCCATAGATGTCAACTTCTTATACACCAGAGAGTTCACACAGGAGAAAGGCCTTATGTGTGCAGTGAATGTGGGAAGTCCTTTATTCATAGATGTCAACTTCTTATACACCAGAGAGTTCACACAGGAGAAAGGCCTTATGTGTGCAGTGAATGTGGGAAGTCCTTTATTCATAGATGTCAACTTCTTATACACCAGAGAATTCACACAGGAGAAAGGCCTTATGAGTGCAGCCAATGTGGGAAATCGTTTACTGCTAGGTCTGGCCTCCGAAATCATCAGAGAGTTCATACTGGAGAAAGACCTTATGAGTGCAGTGAATGTGGGAAATTGTTTATTGTTATTTCTGGCCTTATTAAACATCAGAGAGTTCACACAGGAGAAAGGCCTTATGAGTGTAATGAATGTGGGAAATCTTTCACTGCGAGAGCTGGCCTCCAAAATCATCAGAGAATTCACACGGGAGAAAGGCCTTATGAGTGTAAGGAATGTGGGAAATCTTTTACTGCGAGATCTGGCCTCCAAAATCATCAGAGAGTTCACACAGGAGAAAGGCCTTATGAGTGTATGGAATGTAGGAAATCTTTTACTTCTAGGTCTGGCCTCCGAAATCATCAGAGTGTTCATACTGGAGAAAGGCCTTATGAGTGCAGTGAATGTGGAAAATCTTTTAGCCAAAGACAAATCCTCAGTACCCATAGGAAAATCCATACTGGAGAAAGGCCTCATGAGTGCAAAGAATGTGGTAAATCTTTTATCCAAAAGTGCAGCTTAATTCATCATCAGAGAGTTCACCGTGGAGAAAACGCCCTATGAATGCAGCAGATAAGGACGCCACTGGGGTTTGGAGGAGTTTGACATGGTAACAGAATGGGAGGAACAGGTGCAGTCATCGTGCAACAGATGGACCCTTTCTAGAGCGGAAACTCAGGGTGAGAGAAGGGGTGTCATCTGCTTGTGAACTCCCAGCAATGTCCAGGGATTTAGGATACAGTGCTAGGTTGACTGGTTCGGGCCATGAGGAGTCTGGTCACAACGCTCCTCTTTCACTCCCTACCCTGCTTTGGGGACTCAAAGAACATTTTGTCCATTCGGACACCCTCTTGTCACCCCCCACACAGACACAAAGAGGCCTGCTTAGGACACCCCCTCCTCCCTGCATGTGACTTGACAGGACTGTCGTTTCACTGGGAACAAATATTGATGGCTTTCCTATGAACGATCCGACTTATGTACCTGATAATGATCTGGTCCTGCTAACTCCATGCCACAGGTTTTCAGTGGATGTGGGGCAGCCAAATTCGAGGAACAGACTCTACCTTGGGATGTGGATGTGACCCAGTCCCAGGACAGAGAAAACTAATCAATATAGAACACCACATTAACAGAAGGGAGGATGAAAAATAACATGATCATCTCAGTAGACAGAGAAGAAGCATTTGACAAAATTCAGCATCCATTCATGATGAAAACCCATCCAGGTGGGTATAGAGGGAACATAACTCAATAAAGGCCATTTATGACAAACCCACAGCAAACATCATACTGGTGGAAAGCTGAAAGGCTTTTTCCTAAATTCAGGAAGAAGAGAAGGATGCCCACTCCCAAAACTTCTATCTCACATAGTATTGGAAGTCCTAGCCCCAGCAATCAGACAAGCAAAAGCATCCAAATTGGAAGGTAAGAGGTAAAACAGTATTTTCAGATAACATGATACTTTATATAGAAAACCCTAGTGTCCACCTCAAAACCTTTAGAACTAAAGAATTCGGTAAAGCTATAGGATATAGTACAAATATACAGACATCTGTTGCATTTCTATACACTAATAATGAACTATCAGAAAAAGTAAAAAAATAAAATTGCTTCAGATCGCATCAGAAAGAATAAAACACCTAGTAGCAAGTTAACTGAGGGCTTGAAAGACATATATTCAAAAAACTATAAAATATTGATGAAGATTGAAGATAAAGAAATGGAAAGATATCCTGTGCTCTTGCATTGGAAGAATTAAGATTGTTACAATGACAATACTACACAAAGCAATCGTGAAATGGACAGAAGACATAATGGAGTTAGAAAAACTATCCGAAGTGATGCAAATGAAGAACACACGTCTATTGTCATGTGTATTCAGTGTCTCAAGAAATATAGCAACAATCTTGTGAGTAAGGCATATTCTAGTAAATGGGATATATTCATGTCCAAGACAAAAAGGAGTCAGTCCTTATGGAAGCAATATTGTAGTTGATGGAAACTGTACCTAGGTAATTAGATTTCATGGAATATTAGAATGAGATGCTCCTATAAAAAGGGAGAAAAAGAGCAAGTTACAGTTGAGGAAAAACGGGTTTGGGGTGGGTTGAAAGAGTAAATAGAGTATCCAGAGTAGGACTTTAGTGAAGGTGGACAGTTGTGGAAATACTGTGTTAAGGACAGCTTGCTTTCCTCTTTTCCAATTGTTATATGTTCATTTTCTTTACTGTATTAGAGAGGACCTCTGGCATATTAGGGAATACCAGTGCAAGGCAGTGAACTGCCATCCTACTGATCTCAAGCATCCTATTTATGTCCTTTATATCTAGTCTTTTCAGTCCAGAACCATGTAAAGTCACACAAATTACATTTATTTCTCATCTCTCTTTAATGTCCATTCTGACGCAATCTTTCTGATTTCCTTCAAGTTGTTTTCCCTTGGTATTTTTTATACAATACATGACAATTTGTAAAATTTCCCTCACTTGGTATACAGTAAGATATCCTTATAAATAGATTCAGATTATGTGGTTTATTGTTTTTATTGTTGCTGTTTTGCTCCCATCCAAGATAATACAAAAGTGCTGCCTTGTCCTTTTCAGTGTACCATATCAGGAAACAAGATGTCTGTTTTCTCAGAATTGGCAGTGTTTCCTTTGATCACTTCTTTATGGTGATATCCTTTGGATTTTGTTCCTACTACTCTGGGAGGCTGAAGAAGGGGTGTAGCAAGACACTGTGATCATCTATATGTTTCTAAATCTCTCTGGCTACTGTGTGGAGAGTGAACTTAGGAGGGAAGAACTGATGTAGGAGAGAGGACAGAATCCTTTTTGTAATTGGGAGCCCTTTGATGATGGACTGGTCCAGGATGGTGGCATTGGAGATGGTGAGGACAGGATGACCTGGGACACATTAGGAGGCAGAGCTGGCAGGACGTGTGCATAATTGAGATGATGGGGTGAGTCCCAGAGAATGATTTTTTTCCCTTCAGTCCTCAAGAGTGAGCCATTGCATTTGTGGGCCTGAGAGGCTTACCTTGTTTTCTTAAATTTCTGGATCAGCTGTCAGCTATGTTGAGTAACTGCAGCCAAAGTTTCCAATACCTGGGCACAAAATAGGCAGGACTGCTCCCTGACAGTTATTTGGGTAGATGAGTTTTGTGTGGCCTTGCTTTCCTTGGGCCTGCCAGGGTTAGTTGAGGCTGGATAGGAAGACTGTGTGGTGGTGGTGTGTATCTGTAGTATCTGTAGCTGTATGTGTTTGAGCCTGCCAGGGAACATTAGTTATTCTTTGAATAGAAATTCAAAACTTGTCCTTGAACTTCACTTGATGAAAATTAAATCACTTGCTAAGGAAGTTTAGGGCCATCCAAAAGTACTGACAGCTACTTTGAATATTTATTTCAAGCCTTTTAATGTAATTGTTGATATATTTGGGTTGAAATATATCCTTTTATTTTGTGGATTTCTTACCCTGCCCTTTGTTCTTTATCTTGGCCTTTAAAAAAATTTTAACCCTCTATTTATTAGTATTTGTAATTCAATTTTCTTTACTTCTAGCTTTGAAAATATATACCTTTATTCTATTTATTGTTTAAGCCCCAAATCACTTATTTAACACATTAGAGCACAGAGTTATAAATACATTTTTTTCTTCATTCTGCCTATTATAAGGGGTTTAAGACATTATTTTTCCCATAGGAATATATGTTTTTCAAGGTATGCATAGGGATTCTGTCATTCTAAGTTTGTAAGGAAATATTACTCATGCTTTACACAATTAGTGACATGTATGTCAATCAACACATGAATTTCTCTCTTCAGTTATCATTCCTTTTGTCATCACTGATCTTTCAACTGGAATTACAATCCATTGTTCATTGTCCTTGAATAGAACTTTTTTTTTGAATAGAACTTTTAATGTTCATTTTTCCAGGTTAATTGTGCATTAATTTTCTCATTTCAAATCGTTTTGTTTCATCCATTCTTGAAAGAAATATTTGCTGTATATAGAAATCTTGGTTGGCAATTTTCTCTTCAGTGGTGGGGGGAGGTCATATTGACCTTTCTACTTCTGTGGTTTTCTTAATCTTCGTGGGCTACAGAAGATATTCTGTATGCCAAGGTGTGCTATTTTGATATACTTTACTCTGAACTATCAAGATCAAAAGGAAATAGGGAATGACTCCCCTTCCCCGCCCCACCTCCTTAGTAGCACAGCAGGTCCCCCTATGGGTTTATTCCTACAGGAAATGCAGAAACACCACCAGTTCCCTTGTAAGGGGTTCTAACCTTCTGCACTCTAGTCCAAGTGATTTTCATCTGTCCCATTCTGTAATTGTTGATTGTTGGTCTCCAGCAGCTAATTTACCTTCAAGGATTTCACCACTTCTGGGGGTTGCTTTTCCAGACACCCTGAATTGGGAAGACGCTGGGGGTTCTGGGGTTACTGAGTTCATGCTGGGTTTTGTTGGGGTTTCTCAGAAGGACTCAGGCCCAGGAGTGCAGGGTGGAGGGTCCTATGGGCGCCCCACAAGGGCTGGTTCACTCGTGTCTCTTCCTGCTCCCGTGTACCAGAGGGAACATTTTGAGGCCTTTTCCTCTGCGGACCCATGTGCACCAAGTCCGGGGCGCCACGTGTGATTTGAGGTGACCTATCAGAGGAGTCAGTGATAAATGAAGAGAGCTAGGTGGTCTCCAGGGTGGGAGATAGGGGAACCAGACTCCCAGAGGAGGGCAGGGTGGCCTGGGGACATGGGGAAAACCTGGAGATGGTGGCACTGCACAAAGGTGGGCCATACGAAAGATCCCTGGGCTATGACTCCTCCCTGGTCCCACAGGCTGTGTCCCCCATGCTCCCTCAGGCTTGCCCAAGACACGAAATCCAGAATGTTTGCCCAAAGGCTGAGTCCTTCTTTTTCATTGCTGTGGCCTGGCTCCCTCACAGAAGTGCACCCCTGAGTGGCGGTGACCAATCCCCCTCCTCCTGGCTGAATCCTACTTCAGGGCCCAGAGGCCACGTGCGCTTTGATGAGGAAGAAGCTTTGTGGCCCCTAGGCCCACACTCGAGGGTCTTCGTCCACTCCAGGACGCCCCTGCCCTAAGAGGTCCCGATGTGGGGTTTCAGCCTCGGAGCCATCACTTCCACACTCCCACCTGGACAGCCTTAAGACAGTCTCCCAGGACAGGAAGCATCCTTGACACTGGCCTCAAGACACCC